CGACCATTCGGTACAAGGGTCTGAAAATTCGACTGTTACTTAGGTGATTACAATCGCTTATGTCGATTAAACAACTAAAGGTCGTTATTTTCCAACAAAAAAACATTTTCAAGTCCGTTTGTTTTAAGGGACGGTCTAAATAAGTATTGTCTTTCAAATGTCGTTGGAATTTAACCTTTTCATTTGTTTGACCTGCAAATGGGACATAGTACCTTTAAAGGAAATCTAACCTCCCAAAATAAGTGTTGGTATTCTGTAAAACGGGATGAATTCCTGCTTTTTGGTGTATAATAAATATTACAAACGTACTGTATACACGAGATATACAGTGCGTTCCAGAAAAAACGAAACCGAAAATTATCGATGTTTTATCATAACTTAATCACAATTATAATTAATAAATGACACATATTTGTAAAGCTCAGATCCTCCTCTTTCATTTGATGCAACTCATATGATGCATATTTCAAGCATGAGGGATTTAAAACAATTTGAAGAGAGGAAGCCAAAAAGTAATTTTGCGAGTGGTATCTGAATTTCAAAGAGAAAATCACATTTCTAGAAAGTTCCATACCTGCCCTTTCATCTGACCCTCAGTCAGGAAAAATGAGCTAGGAATAACAAAGTTCTCTTTGTTTAAAGTAATGCTTGCATTTCCTTAATTTGATTAAACGATTTCGTTTTCACTGGCTGCCTGCCGTAGCAACAAACAGAGTTGACAAATGACTTAACTCCGTTTCGTTGACAATCAGCCATGCATCAAGTCTTTCGTCTTCTTTCTGCATGTCTGATCGTCAACGAAAAGGAGTTAAGCAATTTGCGTTCTGGCAATTGGAGTACAAAGGATTTAAGCAGGTAAAATGAAATACTTCAACACCACAAACACCTGAGACCCGTTGCACAAAAACTTACCATTGATGGTAACTTTGCCATCAATAGCAACTAACATGGCAACAGGGCTCAACAGCCAATCAAAATCAAAGTTTTCATGGTAGTTACCATTGGTGGCAAAGTTACCATCAATCGTGAGTTTTGTGCAACGGGGCCCTGGGAAGGGAGCATCCATAAATGTGTATACATTTAGTTGGTAAACGACTTCCCATAGTACGTCATACCAGGGACGTGATAGAGAAGCACTGGAATCAAGCCGCTCTCCTTTGACCCCATGCTCCAAGCCGCCGAAAAGTTATGCGCTAATCTGCAACTGCTGACCAGGTGGTGAGATAAAAGAGCGCATGAATTTCAGGATTTAGAAATCCTACATCAGAAAATGGTATCACAGCAACTGTTCGCTGTCCTTTTCAATGATTTCTCATCCATTGTTGAATGTGTAAAGAGTAGAACAAGCGAACACAAACTTGTGTATTTTCATCCTTGTTTTAACTTCAAAAATACAAACAACACGCATTAGCAAACTTAATGTTATTGAAGATTGTAAGTCATGGATTAAATAACGGGATATTAAAAAATACACAAATGAGTTTTTGTCAGGATGTAATTTTTCTTTTGCCAACTCTGGCACATATTATAGGAAGGACGGAGTACTAAATTTGAAAATTTGTTTGATGCACTTTTCGCAATACAATTACTTGAGAAATTGTACCATTTGTTGATTTTCTTTATCATATAATTGTTTTATATGTATTGTGAAATAAAATATTCATGTATATGAATGAAGTTTACTAATAAAATTCAATCAATCCCCATATGAAGTTTTTGATTTACACTCAAATTTTGCCGGTAATTTATATTTTGTAATAAATGTAAAACTGATGCCTGGCTTTCGAAAGTCAACGCAGTGGAAGCGCGGTTCGGAGCATGGAACTTCAAAGCCAAGTGGAATACACATCCCATTGTTACGCTTCAGAACTCACGAATGCGTTTGAATAAATTACACAAGTTTCGCCTCCTTTCTTTCACCTCTCTTGTCATACTATCAAGAAAATGGCGATACCCATGTCTTGTTGAAAAAATGTGCTTTATTCTTGCCTTTTGCCCTTCTCATACATTTTGGTGGGGAAGATTGAAGATTGATCGTCAAGAATGCAATAAATCTCTCAGAACAACTAACGTAATTCATTGGGGAAAGGTTTCCTTGAATAAGACTAGATCAACGACTAGCGTGACCTTTATCGGTTGGTGTCAGATTGACATCGTACAAAAGGTGTGATTAAAGTGAATAATGCAAACGTTGCTAGATGATTGTTTTTATTGGCGCAGGCAAGGAGTTTTAAGAGATGGAGTCATATCTAGCTCATTCCCTTTGTACCATCTTCGATGCCGCCAGGAGAAAACATGTTAGGCATGTGCTTAACTGGACATTTCTTTCAGATACGTAGACAACAGATTATTGCCTAGCTGCAAACTAACGAACCACTCTCAAAGTGAAATATGCTTTTGAAATGATAATTACTTGTCGCTACTACTCGTCTGATAATACGAGCAGTACACAGTGCTTACATTTACAGGAGGCAAGCGAAAGGAAATGGAGGAAAATTTCCTGATATATTAATTAAAATTACTCGACTGGGCATGTGTGGGCACTAATCTACCCTATAACATCATAATGAACTGTACATGACCAAATTTACCTTTTATTTTCGTGAGCCGGAAGTTAACGGGAACGTTTCAATATGCAGGTTTTAGGATTGTAAATTTTTACTATTTGTCACAAATTTAAACTGCTATTATATGATGCAACCACATTCCTTGACACAATTAGGCTTTTGTATTCATATTTTATCGTACGTTCGATTTTCACCTTCTTAGTTCAAATAAAGAGTGAAAAATTAACTATATTTCTTTGTTCCAAAAAAATCACTACTACTTTCAATTATATTGGCGGTTTCAAACCTCGGACATAAAAGTAACAGCACAACTGTAGATTCTATTGTGCAACCTTAGACTAATATGTTGTCCGTTGGAACTCCAGCTTGTAAAACTCCTTGACGCAGGTAATAGCGGAGTTGACATGACGCTTCGTGTGCAAAGGGCATTATCGCAATTCTAATATTTTAATAACTTTTAAACAAACAAGTTAGTCATGGATTAAGGAGTACTTTGCAGCTAAAGCCCCCATCACACCAAACTAGTTCTCACTACGTTCTAGAACCATCCAAGAAAATCGTAAAACGGGTTGTGATCGGGGCAGAATGTGTAAATAATGTGTATAATACGATCCTAGTTCGTTCATAAACAGTCCTCATTAGGTCAATCTGTACCCCGTCCACAGTCAGTTCATATCAAGTTCAGACCGGGTAAATTTACCATTTTCAGACAGTCCAAGCCAGTCCGTAGTCAGTTTAAACTCATTATTAACTACTTCTACCTCGTTCCCAATACGTCCAAAACAAGTTTTATTAGTTTGCCACTTGTTCTAACTAGTTTGTAACCCGACTGACCCGTTCAAAGACAGATCAACTTGTCCTCATATCGTTCTTAGTGCATTCGAACGCGCTCCTATTGCTGGCTCGGGGGATATACAAAAGACTCATTGCATTCTCGCAATTCCTCATTCCCGTTCAACTTCAACGCTTCAAGCTTTACAGATCAAGATATTCAAGTGAAGCCTCCATCTCACTAAACTAGTTCTCACTACGTTCTGGAAAATGTTGCCAAACGGTCTTAAACTGTGTGCGAACGGAGTGAACGTAAGAGCAACTGTTTACGATCTTTTTAAGAACTTCATGAAGGGGCTCGGACTAGCTTGGACGGAAATGGTGCTCTAGAACTATGAGCATGTTCAAAATTTCTCCCGTCCTGCAATTAGACGGAGTGACAACGTACTTAAAACGAGATGAACGTACTACGAACGGAATTGTCGTACTTCGATCCTACTAGGAACGTGTTACAACGTGACGTGGTCGACCATCAATTAGCAAGAACGTGCTGGGTTCTTATAGCCCTCGAGCCAGGACGGGATTACACACGCACGATAGGAGCGCGTTCTAACGCACTCAGAACTAGATGAGGACGAGTTGAACTGTCTCTAAACGGGGTGGTTGGGTAATAAACTATTCAGAACAAGGTGTGAACTAGTAATAATGGTTAGGACGTATTGGGAATGAGGTATATAGTTAGTCAAGAGTTTAAACTGACTACGGACGGGCTCGGACTGTTTGGAAATGGCAAATTTTCCCAATCTGAACTTGATATAAACTGACTGTGGACGGGGTACAGACGAGTTGGACGTATTGTGGACTCTTTATGAACGAGCTAGGATCGTATTATAGACATTAGTCCAGTCCGAGCTCGTCCATGTTGTCCTTGAACAGATCATAATTAGTTGCTACTACGGTCAACTCCGTTCGCACACAGTTTCAGTCCGTTTGGCAACATTTTCGAGAACGTAGTGAGAACTAGTTTTGTGTGATGGGGGCTTTACAGGTTACCTTAAAAGCACGATCTTAAAGCGATACCTAACTGATGAAATTTCTGCCCTAGCGTAATGTTTACTCCACAGTGCGATATCATCGCCATCTCAGTGCACAAGATGTCTTCTCTATCATTAGCGGATATTGCGGTGATTCGTACCACGTGCTAACTACGAACTGGGGATCGTTTGTAAAGTTTGACACACGCGTTTCTATGGGATATCGTTGAACTTGTACTTTTAACGGTTTCGTGAAACAATGCACAGGGGGTGTTTCACAAAGATTATAAGTATATCTTAACTCTGAGTTGGATTTAAACATTATGGAGAGCCATTTGTAGCCTAAAATAAAACATATTCAAAAGCAAAAATTCAAGTATTTTAGACTTTTCATAAATTCCACATCAAGAACATGAAATCCCCTAGATAATAGAAAATATGAATGATTTGAATAATTTGTATGCCTTTTAAAATAACTTTTAGAAACAAAATTCAAAAAAGCTAACCGCTTTCTATAATTGTTAAGTCCAACTTAGAGATAAGTTCAACTTAGGATCGTTGTGAAACATCCCCCTGGTCTATGGGAAGAGGAAAAATGGACTATTGGAAAAATCAAATCTGTATTGACTTACTCGTGCCCGTTGTCGATGGCATAGTCTAAGCAATTCAGATCCTTCACGTCACATTCAAGAAACCCTATCTGCTCCTGTAGCATGTTCAAGAGCAATTCAACGATCAAGATATCCCCTTTTCGGCAGGCATACATGAGCGGTGTCATCTAATGTTAAGAAAACAATCATAACATATCTTAATTTAAGGATGTGGAGGGAACGTGGTCAATTGGATATGTTAGCGGTCTGTGTGTTGTTCACACGGTTCACGGTTCGAGTCCCGCCATGGCACTATTGCCCTTTGGTGAGACATTAATCTACATTTGCCACACTCCACCGGGATGTGGTAAATGGGTACCTGGCGGGAACAAATTAATTGAAATGCTAGAGCGCCATGATGGCTGAAGGCATGGGCACACAAAAGATTTTTCATGGTGGTAACGGGGGGGGGGGGGTCAATGAATTATTGATAATTTATTGCCATTTTATTTTTCATTTTTTTATTTGTGGGAACTGCCCCCTACCCTAGCCCCCGCTTCGTACAGTCATGGTTAAAGAGAAGACTGAGTTCTGGGAAGAGGTGAAAAATAATTTGTGAGCGTTACTCATTCTTATTATGCAAGTGTGGAAGAACATCAGATAAGACATGTTCCCTGAAAAGCATGGCTCTTCAAATGCCTTCATATTCTAAATATGCATGTAACATCGTAAAAATCGGGGGCCGGCTTTTTACGCCACTGTTCGTGTAGTCCCATATACATCTTTCTGCGTACAGTGTTTGTAACTATACCAAGACTTGGCCAAATTTCTTATCATTTTGATGATTCCAGAACCTTGCAATACACACAAATTCTTAAATGCTAGATGATCAACCTTTTTTGGTCGGTTCCACACCGTTTCTTTCACAATGCAATCGCATGACCAGACCTCAACTTCATCTTTAAGTGGCAAAGCAATGGCCTCGTAGCTGTGAGGCCCCAGCATCACAACCGTGTCGATGTGCTATATTAGTGCCCTCATATTGCTCCGTTTAGTCTCATTTCACAACGCCCCCTATCGTCAGAGCAGGGTCCGAGTCAGCAGCCTAACATGTTAGCCTATGGACGTTTTTTTTTTAAATCGTTAAAAATTCATTTTTTGTTTAAACGAAAAGCACATCCACCCCGACGTACGTTATCACTAGCTCTTTCATTGGGGCCCTCATGTCTCATTGACTTTTGAAAGTTCACCTACCGTAATTTTTCAAAATAGGTTGCAAGCTCGTCATTGCCTATAATACACATGTGAAACAAGTCTAACTTTGCACTCAGTTTGCCAAGCGATTTGAAGATTATAGGTCGAGCACACGAAACATAAAAAGCATGAATTATCATAGATCACTTCTGCCTATTTCATTATGTCCATTTCATCCAACCCCCCCACCGTAATTTTTCTATTTAGTAAAAGCAAACATTTAGCCGAGGTAAGCAAAAACATGAATATTCATGACACACCATGGACTATTCGGTTATTAACAGAGGGGTGCAATCGGTCATCACGTCAAACTCCCCCAATTGCCACCAAGTATTTCATATAATTATATAGTTTGGTATGTTTCTTTGACTCACTCATGAATTATTAAATATCAATGATGGTTTAAAGAAATGTAAAAGAAATTTTAGTTGATATTTATTAACAAAGTAATTTATATTTAGCAAAGCAATCTCAAATACAAAATTACTATCAAGTGTCGTCTGCTACGCCGATTGTCGCCTACTTCGTTAAGGGCCTATCTCACTGAGCAGCGAATGCTTGCGAACGTTGCGAATTTGGATTCGCCAACTTTTCTGACGAATTTTGGCGAAAATCAGCGACATTAAGTGACGTTTAGCGACAATTAGCAACATTTGAGCGAATGTCTCCGAAAGTGTTTGCGAAAGGCAGTTGGCGACTATTAGCGACTGTAAACAAATGTTAGCGACAACTTTTGCGAAGATTAGCAACTATTTGCCAATCCTTTGCCACTATTTGTGAACGTTTGAGACCTTTTGCTAACTACTGGTACTCAATGGGTCGATTTTTATAAAGGAACCATATGGTAACGTGGTCGCTAGCTTTAGCGAAACACAGAGAACTGACGAAAACAAAGAGCAAAACCGTTTAACGACCGTTTGCAAAAGCTTACGACTGTTTTGCAAACGCTAACGACTGTTTTGCAAACGCCTGCAACTGTTTGCGGAAAAATAAATTCGCAAAGAAATTTTGAACATGTTCAACATTTCTTTGCGACAAGAAAAACTGTTTACAAAAAAAAAAACTGTTTGCGATCTTTCTTGCAACCTTTTACAACATTTTACAAACTCTGGCGAAACCCCAAATTCGCTACGTTCGCAAGCATTCGCCGCTCTGTGAGATAGGCCCTGTAAAGGCACATATTTATCGTTTGGACTGTAAGGTATACCAGGGAGATTTGTATTTTCCTGCAGTACAACGTATAGCAGGAAAATGTTGTATATGCGGATCCTTTTAATGATTACGTAATGAAAGTGGCGAGGCGGTATGGTTTGAATAACTTAGGCAGGTGAAAGTTATTGTATTGAGAAGGAAAGGAATGTTCAGAAAGGCATAGAGAGGGAAGTGGGCGTGGTAGCATGTACGCGGTGGCCTGTACTTATAGCGCGCGAACACATCACACCCAATGGCATATACACCCGGTACCCTGCAACACAGTGGAACATGCTAAGAAATTAAAAGATTATCTACAAAATGGACCTCTTGAATCATCTGAGAAGTAAATTACCCTATTCTGATGACTTCAATGAATGTCAAGATAACAATGGCTGCTTTTCCATCCAAAAATAAAACTAGTTTGAATTAGAAATAGTCAATTTCTCGATAATTTCACAAAATATATTTGCCGCCGCATTCAATATGACGTCATTAACAGCTGATTGGCTAGTTTGGTAGTGACGTCGAACGAGCTATGTTTGTGCTGCAGTGATCGAGCGAGCGAAAATGAGACAATCTTAGCAATATGTTTGTGGGGCTTTAATCCTCATTACTGTCATTTATGACTTAAGGGCGTAGGTCCCCTAGTCTATGAGGCTGTTCACACCGCAATGAGATAGCGCGGTCTATCGTAGCACCCCCTTTTTTCTAGCGCGCGCTAGACCGCGCTATCTCTCGTGGACCACCCGCAAGAGGTGCTCCTGTGGTACGCCGTTTAGGCTCGCCGTGGCTCGCTGTTGGGCGGACCAAAACGACGTTGTACCTTCCAAACCGCAGAGATAGCGCGGTCTAGCGCGCGCTATCTCTGCCGGTGTGAACAGCCTCTATGATATGCATAGAAGAATACACATGCTTTAGCAGTCACGCAAAACAAACACTGTCCAAGTATTATTCAATAAAATCTGAGAATTATACTATTATCTAGATCCATTAGGAATAAATCATTGTCAAAATAATTCCATAAATTGGGGTAAAAAAAAAATATTCCAAATTTATGAGCAACAGTATAGTAGCGATAATTATGATAATAGTAATAATGATGAAAGCAAAAACTGCTACCTCATCCTTGTCCTTGGTTCCTGCTAGTTCCTTGTCAGTTTTCAAGATGAGATCACTAGTCATTCTGTGACCTCCTTTAATCGCCACGTGGAGTGCTGTTTGTCCCATCTTATTCCTGATCATAACATAAATAAAATGATAGATGAAGAGAAAAAAATACAATTGAGTTCTTGTTTAAGACCGCAGATAACTTTAAAGTGCATGGTTATTGCTAGGTTCTAGGACAATTACCCCCTAGGCAATCACCCCCGGAAAATTACCCCCCCCCCCCCGAAGGACGATTACCCCCGGAAAATAACCCCCCGTAGAATTACCCCCGAGGACAATCCCCCCCCCCCCGAGGAAAACTACCCCCCGAGGAAAATTATGATCCAATAGCAAAAGATGATCTGACACATTGATAAATGGCTACGAGCCCATAATATCCCCTGCATGAACCCATATTCCTTCAAATACTAAAGTTGTCTTGCTCATTACTACACATTTCTCTTTAATTATTTTGATACAAAATTTCTTCAATGAATTACAACATGAAAAACATACTGCTAAAATGTTCTATTTCTGATTTTTTTTTTTTTTTTTTTTTAAATCATGCGGCTCTCTTGAAAAAAGCCAGATTGTCCAAAAAAATGTACCGAGCGGCCATTTTGAGCGGCCATTTTAAAAGAAGAAGAAAAACAAAAAGGGCCTCCTCCTTCCTATTTAAAAAAAAACAGGACGCTAAACATGCTTTTTTTATTTGGCCTTATATAACGCCAGTGCGGTCGCTGATTTCCACGAAGGACGTAAGTTTTAGGTACTTGTTCAGTGCTTCTCAAAATGCATAGAAATACATTTCTCTGGAACGGCGTTATTTCAACTTTGTGTTAGTTACGGTACTCTCTTAAGAAATATTTTAAAAATTCCAAAATCCCAAGTCTTCATAGACTATTTATTTTGCATGACTCTGTCACTCGCCAAGTGCTATGTACATATGTAGGGGCACATTTCAGAATAAAAAAGGAGAAGAAATTTTCAAACTGGTAAAACAATTAGTTTGTAATCAACACACTAGAAACGATTACAAGTACTGTATGTGGGTACCTTGCCGCCGAATGTACATGAATATTCAACAAGTGATGTATTCGGTCATGACCTTGATACACGAATATGAGGATATTCGGGCCTCTCGTTGCCCTTATTTATCAAGCTTTTAAACGTAATGAGTGTGGTACCAATGTAATCTCGGAATAAAAGATATAATATATATTCGGGCACCTCTTGTCAGCGAACGAGGAAGGAAGACACTTTATTATCTTAATTTTTGTATTTGCTCATGTAATTACATACTCTAACCGTTTCTGATATTTGTTTTTCACAAAATCAACGTTTTCCAAATGTAACTAACATTCTCTTGCGGCACCCCGGTTAAAAAACGCTGCGCTGGAGTTACAAAATCAAATGAGATGAATTACCAGAGAGTGGATATTTATTTTCTTTTGACATGGCACCGTACATATAACTTGAGGGCAATTTTTATTTCAAAATGATTTAACGTACAAGAGAACATATTATACTTCAGCATGACAACAGGAACATATAGATAACGTGAAGAAAACCTTAATTTTGGATCGTGGATGAGGGCCCATTATACATACACGATCAGCTGATCAAAAAAGTTACAGAGGATGCATGAATGAAATCTTACATCCTAATTTCTTTGTTGTGCCATTGTTGTTGAGAGAGGCTGTAACGCGTAATCGTCTGCGCGCAATGTATTGTTAAATTTCTAAGAAATGGAATTTCTGTACTTTACTCGGTAGCAAAATTGCGGGGGAATTGGGCAACCTCCATGCCCCCCCCCCCCCACATCGAATTGAATAATTTGAAAAGACTGAAAAAAGCTTCATAAATAACAAAAAAATAAAAGTTTATACAATTTTCTGTAAAGAGCAATTTGGAAAGTAGCTTGCATTTTACGTCACAGTGTTACAAATTCCTCGGGGGTGATTGTCATTGGGGGTAGTTGTCCTCGGGGGTAGTTTTCCTCGGAGGGAGGGGGTAATTGTCCTGGGGGGGTTATCGTACTCGGGGGAACTTGTCCTGTGGGGCGGTAATTGTCCTTAGGGGTTAATTGTCATCGGGGGTAGTTGTCCTGGGGGAGGTAATTGTCCTTGTGGGGTAATTGTCCTTGTGGCGTAATTTTCCGGGGGGTGATTTCCCAGGGGGCAATTGTCCTCATGCGTTATTGCTCTTATTCTTATTCATGACATTTCTAGTGCCCTCTTAGAACCTAAAATTACACTGTTGCTCATAACGGTGGAATATTTTTTTTTTATCCCAATTTATGGAATTATTTAAAAAATAATTTAAAAATACTAGATCTAGATAATAGTATACAGTCTCAGATTTTATTGAATAATAATTTGCCAATATGTGTTTTGCGTGACTGCTAAAGCATGTATATTATGCTACTATGTTTATCAACTAGGTGACCTATGCCCTTAAGTCATAAATGACAGTAATGAGGATTAATGCCTCACAAAAAGGCTCTGATATAGCACATCGACACGGTGTTGATCATGGGGCCTCACAGTTACGAGGCCATTGCTTTGTCACTGAACCATGACTGTACGCAGCGGGGGCTAGGGTAGGGGGCAGTTTCCATAAATTTAAAGAAAACAGAAAATGCAATAAATATTCAATAATTTATTGCATTCTACCCCGGTCCCCAACATAAAAAAATCCTCTGGACGGCCATGCATTATGGCTCAAGGCATGGGCACACAGAAGATTTGGTACAAAATGGTATATTCTTTCAAATTTGACCATCAGTTTTTATATTATCTCACGAAAAATATTTTGTGTAGCGCCCTCTCTAACAAAACTCAACTATCCCTTTCAAATGATACCGAACTTTCTGCCCTAGCACACTGTTTATTGCACAGCACCAATTCCTGGTCAACATGCCAACAATTCGTAAAGAAATATGTTCCTTCTGCTTTGCAGAAAGAGGACTCGATGCGACATCCAACAGCGCAGCAAGTTACAAGACCATACTGCTACAGCTGACCTGAGATGGAATATTGCGATAGGGGTTCTAGGACCATTCTTTAGTGTGTTTGGGAATCTTACTTTCTCTTCGTTTGAACATCCGGATTCTTCAGAATAGCCATTGTTGTTTGATGATGACCTTTTCGTGCTATTAAGTGGATCAAGGAGTTACCATCATCAGGATCAGCCTCGTTGATCATGTCCTTGTCCCAGGCAACGAGCTCATAAAAACTGCTGAATAAGATATAAAAGACAAAAATGTAGAGACAATATTTTTTTTCTTCATATAGTAGAGGTGTCGTGGTCTTATAAAAACATCTTCGGACTGTGGATCACATGGTTCAAGTCCCGCATCGGAACCAATTTGCCTTTGTCAAGATATTAACCTACATTTTCCATTCTCCTCCTAGGTGTTAAATAGGTACCCGCAAGGATGCTAACATTAATGTAGTATAATTGCCATGTAGAGCGCTTGCACTATCACGCGGGATTAGCAATTGAATGAAATGTCTAGGGCAATAATATATGACAATCTAAAGCGCTTATAAACGTAGCATTAAGCGGTATACAAATGTGATGATAATTACTAGTATAGAGTTGTAATTGAAAGATGATTTCTCATTTGAAAAAAAGAACGCTATCAAGTTTGGTTTTAAAGGTATAGAGTACCGAAGTGCTAACGTCATATTCGCTCGTAGTCCAGATTCTGTCCGTTTTGTTATTGTTTTATTCTTGAATCATCTATGTCCTCCTACCTAACACGCAACCCACACAGATCGTGCGACCACCGAGAATAAACCAGTCGAGGGTGAGAACGAAAGGCAAAGGTTATTTTCTCAGCTGATTGGGCGCGCGACACGGAAACAATCAAGACAGTGGACCAATTTGCTCTTCGTCCAGGATTCGTTCAAGCTACGGGCTAGGGCAGGGTGATCCTCATACAATTGTTTAAGATTGTTTGGAAACAACAACCTTGACTACTCTGTTATATTTATATTCATAAAACACAAGTCAGCCCTCGGGCCTTAAAAGCTTTAAAGCCCATCTGTAACTAGTTTGGCCAGGAGGGATTAGACTCCCCCCCCCCCTGCTTGGTCATCAAATCGGCTCTCAATTAACATGTATGTATGTGTATTCTGTATGTTGTTATTCACTTCATTTACATCAATTTCACCCTGGTCAGCAGAAAAAGTATGAAATATATTGGAGTCATCGGCAAACAGCCGAAAATTGAAATAATCAGTAGAAGTTGGCAAATCATTTATATAGATTAAAAACAGACTTGGCCCTAATACTGATCCTTGTGGAACTCCACATCTTATCGTTTTCCTTTCTGATAACGTTTGACCACACTGAACAAACTGAACATAGTTAGCGAATAGATGCGAGAAAGTAGAGGACAAAGACTAAAAAGAACGGTTGCTTTTTGGTGTGTGCTGGCTATTAGAAACATTAATCTTAAAAACATGGTTATTAATGAAAATGAAAAGCGTATTTCATATTCAAATTTCAATGGTGTAAATATCTACCATTGCTGACTATGCAAATGAGCGTCCAAAAAAATTATTATTAGGTTGAATGGTATTTCACTGGTAGATGAATGGTGCCCAACGGTACTTTGCGAGCATAATTTCAATGGTATCCGAATGGTACTTAAATGGTGTTTGTGAATGGGATCCGTATGGTATTTTCAGTGGTACTTCCGAATGCTATACATTTTTTTGTAAGGGTCTTAATATAGTATTAATGACTGCTTTGAGAGAAATAGTTGTTTTTATACGCTCAAGGGAATTGTGCTATTGCCCGAGGCGTGCCGAGGGCAATAGCCCAATTGTAACCTTCCCGAGAGCGTATAAAAACAAATATTTCTCGAATATTTAAGCAGTCATTAATACTTTTATATGCCGAAAAAAGTCAACTTATAACACCCCCTTGGCCTTTTTTTTTTTGATGAGTGTATCTTTGAGAGTAGACTAAAAAATAAAAAATATCAAAGATGGGATTCGATCTCTTGCGTACCAACGATGATGTGACTAAAATCACAGCCTTAGACCACTCGGCTATCGCGCACTCATACCATATCTAGCAGTTTTTTCTGATATATACATTAAAATGGATTGAAAACGGCTTCGCGTGCTGAATGCTTCACCGTAGCTCCATTAAACGGGCCCTTCTTTTACTTTTGCAATGCATTGGCACGAACTTAGATCAAGATCTATCGGTAGATGTTGTTTTTGGAAGTTTATTTTCGTCTTCATGTCAACAATGCAAGATAAATTGTCGGTAAGACCGATCGAGATTCAATTGTATTGAAATTACCGACCAATTCATCGCACACGTACTGTATCCTCGATCGCTCAGACCATATTTTTTAAAACATGTATACCTATGGGTGTTTCACCAAGACTGAACTATTTCCCCGGTAACCATGGTTACTGGGATTTTAGAACTATTTTTTAGAACTATTACATGGGTTTGGAATTTTACCGGGAATTTTACAGGAATAGTTGAAGTTTATGAATGCAATTTCGACCAATCAGATGGCTGGATTTCTTAAGTGAGGTATATAAAATGCACTAAATTGGCTTGTTGAAAGTGAGCCCCTAAAAAATAACAAGAATATACACAACATACTATACATTGAGAGAAAAATATCAAAAAATTATTACAGAAAAAACTTAAAGATAAAGACCAGTTATGATCATGCGATTGCATTGTGAAATATTTCTTCTAGAAGTGAAACCCCAAACAATATTACAATAATTGAAATGGGAAGAAATGAGGGCTTGATATCACATTTTCAAAACAGTCTGAGGTAAGAAATTCAATCTGAATAAAACTCCAATATTTTTAGATAGTGTTACAAAGATGATTTATTTGGTGGTTCCAAGATATTTTTTCATCTACAATTACTCATAAAAATGTTGTACTTGACACCCAAGTTATCTTTTTATTTGAATAGAACGAATTGGAATTTGGAACTTGGAATTTTGGTTTTAGTTCCAAACATAATATGATTAGTTTTATTAGTATTTGATATTAACTCATTGAACTTCAATCACTTACTTAAATTTATTAATTGAGTATTTACGAAATGGAATAAAGTTGTAGGATCACGACCTTTACAAAATATACTGGTATCGTTTGCAAACATGGTATGTCATTATATAAATCTAAAACAAAAGGGGGCCGAGCTAGAATAGATCCTTAGGAAGTCCGCAACCTATTGTTTTAACGTGGGATTGAGCTTCATTAATAATTGTTAATTGTTTACGATCAGATAAATAACTTGATACAAGTTCTAAAGGTGAGCCCCTAATACCGTAATATTTCAATTTTTGTAATAAAATATAATGATTTATAAGCTGCTTTAATTAACAATAACAGGCTGTTCAGCTCTTCATGTAAGCAAATGTATAACAATTTACATCACAGAGTTATATGAGTGGGACCACAGGCACAAAACAGCAGTTACTCACGGTAAAGAGACACATATCAGATCCAAAATTACTCCAAATTGAAGAAAAAACTAAAGATCCATCATTGTTCCTGAGGACTAGGGTATTATTCCTTGCAGGTTGTCAGCTTTGAACGTTGATCTTGAAGAAAATTCCCCCCCCCCCCAAAAAAAAAGCGAAATCACAGAGCAAAATGATAGTTAAAAGTATAAGGGACACCTAGTTTTCTCAAAGTCACTACCAGTGAAACACCATTCACCATACAGACTCTACCATTGAAACACCATTCACCATCAGACGCCACCATTGAAACACCATTCACCATACAATTCCACCATTGAAACACCATTCATCATACAGACTCCACTATTGAAACACCATTCACCATCAGTCGCCCCATTGAAACACCATTGACCATACAATTACACCATTGAAACACCATTCGCCATACAGACTCTACCATTGAAACACGATTCATCATACAAACTCCACCATTGAAACACCATTGACCATACAATTCCACCATTGAAACACCATTCACCATACAGACGCCACCATTGGAACACCATTTTCACCATACAGACTCTACCATTGAAACACTATTCACCATCATTCACCACCATTGAAACACCATTCACCATACAGAATCCACCATTGGCACACCATTGAAATACCATTTACCATTGACGCTACCATTCAAACACCATTCATTTACCATTAGTTTTTTTTAAGGGTACACAGCCCCATTGACAGCGAATAGATCGTTTTAAGGGCAATCCAGCCCTTGTTATAAGTTGATTTGTATAAAAGCAGAAAAATAACAGAAATAGAATGGCAAAAGTTTAAAATGAATAGGGCCAATAGTAAGGAAGTTGTGAATACTTGAAATATGAGATCACTAAGTCTATGCGAATCTCAAGTTGGTAGTTCGGTCAGTGGGTTGTGGCGTAGGACGTGGATAACTCTCCCAGTGTCGTGTACAGCATGCAATCGTCATCTATTTGCAGACGATTGCATGCTGTACCGTCCAGTGAAATCAGTGAACGACGTGGACATCCTGCAACACGACCTTGATGCAATGGTGGAGTGGTCTCAGAAATGGGGCATGAAATTCAACCCCAAAAAGTGTGAATCAATGCGCGTCACCAGGAAGAAGAAACCGGGTAAATCTTCATACAACCTCCTTGGTGTCACCCTGGAAGAATGTAAGCAGACAGAGTACCTTGGTGTTGTGATCCAGAACGACCTCCGATGGAATGGCCAAACTCACCTCGCAACAACAAAAGCTATTGGGGTATTGAGTTTTCTGAGACGCAACTTTCATCACTGCTCAACTTCCATTAAGGAGAAACTCTACCTCACCCTCTTTAGGCCACACTTAGATTACGCAGTTGCTGCTTGGGACCCATACACAGCTAAGAACATTTCTTCTATCGAACGAGTCCAGAGGCAGGCAGCCCGTTTTGTCACAAGCACTTATCAGAGAGAAGCAAGCGTCACCCACCTTCTAAATTCTCTTAAGTGGAACTCCCTTCAAGGCAGACGCGAAGCTTACCGTCTAAGCTGTTTCCACAAAATGTTACATGGCCTGCTGGACATAGATGCCCGAACCCACATTAAACCTAAACCAGATCGTAGCAGACGCGGACACTCAAGTCAGTTTGAAATACCATTAGCCAGATTGGATGTATACAAGAACTCATTCTTTCCTCGCACAACCGGAGCATGGAATAATCTCGATCCGACCTTAGTATCCCTGACTGACTCAGCAAA